GTGGGGGTTGATAGGGGAGAGAACCCATTGAGGATTACAAAGAAAGATGACTCCAAACCCCTTTTGCTTCATTTTAAGGCAGCTGCCTGGTCCCTGACCCAGAGCAGTAGCATTGGCAATTGTGTGTCTTTGCCATTTTCAGGCCAAAACCACCCACGTGTACACACACAGGGACACACACGCACACACTTGCATTGAAACTACATAAAGTCTCCAGAGAGCAAACTGTGTTTCTAGTAACAAACCACAGTCTGCCTCTAGGAAGTGTGACCAGGCTTTGCCCTGAGAGAGAAGGCTCCATGGGAAGTGTTCCTGCCCAAGCGGGCAGCCTGGCCTTCAGGCAGCCTTTGGCAAGCCCCAACAGGATGCCAGGCTGGCTGGCGGGCAGGACAAGACACCACTCTGAACCTCTCCCCATTGTAATTTACCAAATCCATCTGGGGTTTCTTTGAGCCGTTTTCTGGAAATGTCACATTTCAAGGGTCTCCCTGTTAGAAAAGGTCAGAGATCATGCAGGCCTTTCATGTTAAAGGAACTTGAAAGAAAGGAAAAGAAATGTGTATTTTCAGCCTTAGCTATGATTAAGTGGGCTCAGGCCATGAGAACACTTAGGTGATTTACATGATGTTACATGAAGAGCCAATTAGCCTAACAACTTCCGAAAAACTTCTAGTTGCAGAGCACCCGTTTATTAGAGCACTTGAAATGTGCCAGGCGTTGTGCTAAGATCTTTGCTAGGATGCATGATTCATCTCAACCTCGCTCCCACAGTGCGAGGCAGGGTTAGGTGTGATACCCATTTTACCCACAAGGAAGAGGAGCCTCAGAGAGGGTCAGTGATTTGTCTGGGGTCCCCCAGCAAGTAAATGGTAGGGCAGGGATGAAATCTCAGGTCTGTCTAAATCCAAAGCCAGAGCTCTCTTGCTCCAACCCTCAACCCTTGAGAGCTCTTTGTCTTGCATCCAGCACAGGTCCACCTGGTTTATTTGCATGAAGATAAAGCCTTGTTAAATGTCCAGCTTTGACCAGGGCTTCACAAGTCCAGAATACTCTGTGGCCTCCCTGAAAATGGCCCTGGTCTCAAAACTCCCCTGGTCACATCCAGGGGACAGCCACAGCAGATCTTACCCACCTCCCTATGGAATGACCCCAGGGCCTTTTATCCAGTTATGGAATCTGAGTCAGTGCCCAGAGCAGACAGTCTAGGGTGGGCCCAGGAGCGAAATAGTACAGGCTGAGATTGCTCTGACCCAAGGTAGATGTTCTGGACTCCCTCACCCAACAAACAGCTTGAGCCACCCTATACAGACCCGCCACGGAGATTCCCCAACCCTCCTGGTGGCCCCTTCATGTAAGCATGAGTAACCCAGAAAGTAGGAACTCTATTAGTGACAACTTACTTATCAGCATTTGTCTGCGAAGACCATAAAGTAGATAAGGACTCCGTTGAAATTGTGGAGGTCATAATGAAATACTAGTTAGGGTACAAAAGTTAGGGTGTGGGCTCAGGAGTTAGACTACCTGGGTTTGAAATTCTGATAACCTCACTTCCAAGCTGTGAGACTTTGGGTGACTTATTCAACCTCTCTGAGCTTTAGTTTCCTCATTCATAAATGGGCATAATAGTCCCTATGTCATAGGATTGGTATGATGATTAAATGAGATAATGTATGTGGCGCTCTTGATTGGATGCCTGATACATAGCAATTGCTCAGTAATAGGAAGTCGCTGTGTGGATGATGATGACAGAATCAGTGTTAACCAGACAAGGGGGGGACTGCTACAGGGCCTGCACCTGCCTTTTGGGGACAAGCTCAAGCTCCTTTTCTTCTCTCTCTCCAGGACCAGATGAAGTCCTCCTCTTCCAGGAAGCCAACCTGACTACTCCAGCCTCATTGATCTCACCATATCTGAGCTCCTTCTGCCCTTGTCTATATAAACATAGACAACTCCAGCAACAAACTTGGCACTACTAATTTCTCAGCTTCTTAAGCAGCTCTTGTGGCCTCCTCTGCTCCTCTGACCTTCAGGCTGATTTCAGTATGGCTGTAGATACCTGAGACTTAGTCTGTCTCTCCCTTCCTTATCCCCCCTCACACACCTATTCTCCCTACTCACCTGCCTCCTCCCCTGGTTCCAACCAGTAGCGCAAGAAGTCAGAGCCATGATCCCATAGGGCAGTGGTTCCCAGATCTTGGGATTTCAGAGCCCTATAACATGTCCAAAGAAATTGGGGGGTGGGAAAAGGAACAGAGAGTTGCCAAGTTTTTCTTTTGCCAAATAAGAACATTAAAAAAAATCAATTCTCACCATCATTTCAGTAAAGAAAGGCTGTTTTCACACCAATAAAACAAAGTTCATAATCTCTGATTAAAGGCTAATACTTTAAGCTGAAAAAATTTAGCCGTCTTGAGAAAAATTCACTCACTGTTGCCCTGACTTCTCTCCTTTCTCCATGGACTGAAGAAAACTTCAGCCTGTGTTCACTGGGACCCCATGGGTCTGGAGAACTTTGTCCTGGAAGAGTTTCCTGCTAAACCGGGGTCACCTGAAAATGCAGGATAACTCCCAAAGCCTTTGAGTTAGGCAGATCCATATTCCCATTCAGCTAAAACAGAGGAGGAGGCTCATCCCAAAGCCAGATCTTACAACTTCAGGGGCTGAGGTGGAGGAAGCCATTGGCCCCTCCTCCTGTACTCTCCCCAGGGACTGGGCCACGTCTGGCAGGAGCCCCTCCCCCCACTCTGGAGGGGATAAAGTGAGACTGAGCAGCAAGCTCAAACCAGGAAAGTTGACTGGGGGGACCGGTGGCAGGGTCTTCCCTACAACTCCTTCACCATACTGAGCACTGGTGCCCATCCCCCATCCCCACCTCTCCTCCGGCCCCCCGGAAAGGAGGAAAAGAGGGCACTCCAGCCCTGAGGTGGGGGGGCGAGGCGCCCCGCTGGGCAGGCACAGATAGGATCTGAACGCGGAGAAGGACGGCCCAGGCTCTTTGATCCGCAGCCAGCCTGGCTGGGCCTGGACCCGGAGGGGCGGTGCGGCTCCCTTCCGGCCCGACTTTGCACCGCAGCCAGGGGTCCTATGAGGCTCTGAACTGGAGAAGCGTCCAAGATACCCTCCTTTTCCAAATACCTCTGTCCCAGTTGTTCTTAGGTGGGAACGTCTACACTGAATTGAGCACAGAAACCTGCAGTGGGCTGCGGTTCACTGCCCCGCGATTCAAAGGGGCCTAGACCCAGCGGCTGAGCCGAGGAGGCCAAGCGTGCCTTAGAGGCCTACGTGGACTTGCCCCTGGTGCCTTGTAGAGGCGAAGGAAGCTGACGCACGTTCCCCGCTCTTCCTGGCTATAGACCCAGCAGCCTGGATCTTGCGAGGCCCCGCTTGCGCCAGGCTCAGATTCAGTGGGTTCAGCGGGAATGTGACTTCTCCTCGTGTTAAGTTGCCTCTCACCACCAGGCCGCAGGTTCTAGGCGTGGAACTAAACTGGGATAGCCATGGGAGGGAGGTGTGACTGGAGGATCCCCATGGGGGGTACGGGTCCTTCCTCGTAGTCCTCTTGGCTGTATTCGCTCCTTGGAGCCGCCACATGGCCGAGGCCCTTACAAATGTGGTGTATGAGCTCCACATGCAACAGGAGCTCAATAAATGTGTGCCGGGTATAAACTTGTGTTCGCGCTGAGTGGGCGACCTGCTTGGCTTAGGTTTGGAGAATGGGGCTTTGAAGAAGTCTAATCCCGCCGGTCCCGTGTTGGGGCACAGCTTCCGAGCAGCCCCAAGCTCTAGGAAGTCTCCAATTCCAAGGCCAGGATTTACTAGGCTCGGGGCAGAGAAGCAGTTCACACCTTGGTTCCTGTTCCAAACCACACCAAGAAGCTAGGGGACCCGCGCCCCCCGCCATCTAGGGGAGAAATATAGGCACGGGGTGGGAATCCCTAGGTTAGGAAGCAAGGTCGGAGTCTGCTTTAAAGTCCCCGCGTTTTTTCAGGGTCGACAGATGCCTCACTTGGGTTACGCCGGGGAGAGCGAGCCCTTTAAGACTATACCCGCTGGGCGCGTCCCTCTCTCTTCAGTGTGAGAGGGGGCGGGGCGGGACAAGTTGGCTCCACCCATCGTTCGGGCCCGCCCCTGGCGTCCCCGCCCCGCCCCCCGCACTCTGCCGGCGGCGCCTTTGATGTTCGGACCCGCGAGCTCCCGAAGCCGCTGAGCCGGGCGCCCGCGCCCAGCGCCCGCAACCCGCTCAGGCGGAGTCAGCCCGCGCTCCTCCAGCCGTGCTCCGGGCTCGGAGATCCAGACTCCGGGCTCGCCGCCTCCCGGGCCGGCTTCGCGCCCCGCACTTCTGCGCCCCACGCCCCCGCGGGCGGAGCGCACCATGCCGCAGCTGGACTCAGGCGGGGGCGGCGCGGGTGGCGGCGACGACCTCGGCGCGCCGGACGAGCTGCTGGCCTTCCAAGACGAGGGCGAGGAACAGGACGACAAAAGCCGCGACAGCGCCGCGGGCCCCGAGCGCGACCTGGCCGAGCTCAAGTCGTCGCTGGTCAATGAGTCCGAGGGTGCAGCGGGCGGCGCGGGGATCCCGGGGGCCGGCGCCGGGGCCCGCGGCGAGGCGGAGGTCGGGGCCGAGGTGAGCGCCCGCCCGCTCCCCGCTCCTTCCCGGCAGCTGCGGCCCGGGCCTCGGCTTTCGCTGACCCGCCCCTCCCTCCCGCGGCCCTCGGGGTCCCCATCCCTCAGAGCCCCTCCGGTCCCTGGTCCCGAGCCCCCAGCTTTTCCTGCGCCCCTCACAGTCCCTCTGGATCTCCCCGTAGGCTCTCGGGCGGGAACATACTTCGCAGAGACTTTTCCCCGACAAACTTCCAGACTCTCTAGAGGACGGTGAGTTTCTGCACGACCGGCTCCCCTCCACCCGCTAAGGCCCAGGCCTCCATGGGAGGGAGGGAGCCGAGGGGGCGCCTCCCCCCAACTGCAGCTCTTGGAGGCGGTAAAACCGAGGGGGTGGGGAGAGTGGGGGGCGGGTTTCCCGGGCGCCTCCGGGCTCGAGTCACTTCCGGTGCCCTGACCTTTATAGGAGTAAACAGACCCCCGCCTTCTCCGCCTCCCCTCCTGCCCAGGTGACCGACTAATCCCCTGTCTTGAAGAGAAAGCGTTGGCCAGGGTTCCTTGGCTAGTTGGCAGGGTGGGGGTCAAGTAGGAGCTGCCTAGGGGGAGCTGCCTGGACTTGGGGTTCTTCGTCAAAACTTAGCAGCACTGCGGGTACCTCCATCCCGTTTCTTCTCAAGTCACGAACTTGAAGGGAACCCCTTGGCAATTCTTATTTTTCTCTTGAGAGCAGACAGCCTTCAGCCCTAGCTGCCACGGCTGGCGTGTCTGACCCAGCTGTGGTTTTTCCAGGCCTGAAGGCCCCGGAGTGCGCCAGCGGCATGTACAAAGACACCGTCTACTCCGCCTTCAATCTGCTCATGCACTACCCAGCCCCTTCGGGAGCAGGGCAGCATCCCCAGCCGCAACCCCCGCTGGTAAGTGGCCCTAGCCCAGTCCGGTGCCTGCTACCTCCTTGACCAGGTATGTGAGACTCGGGCAAGAAGAGACTTTCACTCGCAACAAAATAGACTCTACATGAGAACTCTGTTCTAGTCGCTTTTCCTATTCATGCCCAGTAGGATTTGAACCAGAAGAGAACTTTGCTGAAGGAAGGAAGGATGGCCCTGGGCACCCCTATCCCTCTAGCTGTTGGCTTTCATCTTCCCAGCTTGCTTACAAGCAGGTGCAGGCCCTGTCCTGGTGCTAGGTGATGCTGAGATATAGTCTTCTCAGAGTAAATATGAGCTGAGACCCACCCACCCCCTGGCTCCTGAGGGTGAGTTTTGTAGTTAGCTTTCTCTAAAACCTGAAACCCCAAACCTTGGTGCTTGAAGGAACCCACAGAAAATCTGGTGGGCTTCAGATCTGATTGTGGATGCTCTACTTGCTCTGTCATTGGCATGAGTACACCCTTGCCAGAGAAAGAGCCTGAACACCATGTGTGGAGAGTGGGTTTTTATGAAGCTGGCTTGGTCTCAGATGCACCACAAAGGATTTGCTGAGGTGTTTCAAATCAGTAGTGTTGGTAAAGTGCCTGTTTAATCAATTTGTAAATTAAGTACGTTTAAGTACCCAGTGCTTTGAAAAGATTTTATGATCAATACAAGCCATGCTTTTCTGACCATTGGAGCAGATGACCTCATGTGTAAGGAGCCTATTCTGAGTGCTTTGGAGCAGTTAAGCTGCACTTTTTAAAAAATTCAGATTAGTGTTTCAGATTGCCCTCAGGTAGCCCAAGTCGGGGTGAGATTAGAGATACTATAGTACATGAAAGGTTTGGGGAACTCTGGTGGGTGGGTGTTGGGTTCAAATGTAGGCCCAGAGTAGGTGGGTCCCGAAAGTAGGAGGTTCACATGGCTAGTAGTAGGGGTCACCCAGAGGGAGGAGGGTTGGTTCTGAGAATTCTTTCTGAGAACTGCCTAGCTATTTCTGATCCGGAGTGAGGAGGGTTGGTTCTGAGAGCTGTTTCATGCGGAAGGTAGTGGGAGGTTAGAAGACAGATTGAGGCTTCCCTCCAGAAACCCACCTGGTAGACAGTTGACTCTGGAAATGAGTTCCTTGTCCTTTGGACCCCCATTTCTTCATCTGTAGAAGGAGCATGTTGGATGAGTGTTCTGTCTGTCTGACTCTGCTCTGGGGTGGCTCTATCTAGATGTTTGCTTCCTTTCAAGTCTCCCTGTGAGTGGGGCTACCCACTGACCTTGCTGCCTGATGCAGCAGCTTTTCTGAGAGACCTCCACCCCTCAGGAGTAGATGCTTAACAAAGACGCTTTTTGGGCCTCTTAAAAGGAGCAGACCCTTCAATTTGGGGCCAAGTTTACATAACCCACCACTGCCAAAACACTGGCAGGTGAGTTGCTGAGTTGCTTGCTTGCTTGTTTGGGGGGCTGGAGTCACTGATGCCATGACTAGACAAAAGGCCTAGATTCGAGAATGGGCCTAGCGGGGCAGGCTCCCCTCCTGCTTCTTGTGATTCCACAGTGGTGCAAAAAAGCTTCCTTTCATGGCATGGGCACCTGGTGGGAGAGTGCCCAGGGAGGGAAGGCCTTGTTCTCTAGGGGTGTGGTGATGAGACCATTTGGTGTCCTTTAGTTCACATTGGTCAAAGAGTAGGTCGACCCAGACCAACTCCAGCACTAAGGATGGGGGCAGGGTGCAGAGGGGCAGACACAACACCATCACCCGCCCTGGATCTTGTTTTTAACGTAAGGATCTTTCTCAAAGTACAGCAGATGCATTTGTATGTGTCACACCCTCTCCTATAAAGACAAATCCCCTGGTTCTCCTCCCCCCTCAGCTGCTGCCTCCCACAGCCTAGCTTCTGGGAACATAGAAGGACAGGCTGTGGCACTGACTTTCGGTGCCCTGGTGCCAGCTGCTCCAGGGGGTGCAGATAAGGACAGAGGCAAAGGCCTGAGTAGGGATGGCCCTGGGTGAGGAAGATGTACGTGAATGTAGTGGAGCTTCTTTTAAGAAAACTTGATAGTTACAAGCAAATAGCAAGGAAGAGTAGTTGCTTGCATCACTCTAAGAGTAATTTAAAATGGTTGTTTTTGTATCTTTATTGTTGAAAGTATTATAGCCCTGGCCGGTTTGGCTCAGCGGTTGGAGTGTCGGCCTGCGGACCAGAGTCCCGGGTTTGGTTCCCGCTAAGGGCACATACCAAAAAAAAAAAAGAAAGTGTTACACATGTCCTCCCGTTTTTTCCCCCATTGACTCCGACTCCCTCCTCCCTGTCCTCCCCCGCCCGTGCCACTTTCCCCACACTGTTGTCTGTGTCCACTGGCTGTGCAAATATGCATATAAGTTCTTTGGTTTATTCCTTCCCACCCCACCCACCCTCTCTTCCCTCCGAGATTTTTCTGTGTTGCCTGCTTTCATGTTTCTGGATCTGTTTTGTTCGTCAGTTTAGTTTGTTCATTAGATTCCACATATAAGTGAGATCATGTGGTGCATGTCTTTTTCTGACTGGCTTGTTTCGCTCAGGTCTCCAGGCTCTCCAGGTCTCCATGCTGTCTCAAAAATAAAATATGGTTGGATTTTAAAAAGCACTATTAGTTGACCCTATGTTTTGGGAACACATTTATCATGTGACTCAAGGTTCATGTGTCTAGAATCAGAAAAGATTATCTTAAAGTGGGTCAGGAGCCCCTTGCAGGGGCCCTGAGGAGAAACCACCTTTGGAGGTTTTCAAAGCGGTGCTTTCCTGAGCCCGTCCTCGTGGCACGGAGGACACGCTGCCCAACCCTTGCTTGTGGGCTTTAGAACTAGGCCCCCGGCCCTCCGCTCAGCCCTCTCTGAGAATCCAAGTGGTCAGCAGTTGTGCTGAAGAGCTCAAGACCAATCCAAACCCATGCCAGGGACCTTCTCTGCCCATGTGTGGGTGGGTTGTCCATGTGACTACCACACTGAGTGCCTCGAAACTGACAGACCTGAGCCTACCCAGGAGCAACGGGCCAAGTGACCACCTCATGCGCAACTGCCACAGGGCAGAGGGAGATTTTTTTCCAAAAGGTTTATTTCTTTTTGAACTTGGTGTCTTGTAAACTCTGTTTGGGTAAGGGGAATTAGGTCACAGTTTATTTCATGGCTGATGTTTGTCAGGCATCTAATGTGGGCTTGCAGACAGTCACTGGCCTAGAGTAGTAGCCACTCCTTATTTTGGTTTTGTTTTCTCTGCTCTGACCTGGGGTGGGGGTGGAGAGCAGTGAGTGGGTCCTGGGCCAGACTTTGAGGAGCTTCTGGGATGAGTAAGGCATCATTCCTGAGGGACACTCAGGCTCTTGAATGTGCAGGACTGATGGTCTGGTACAAATCCTTTCTTAAAAGGAATGTGAGGCCACATTGCTCTTGTGGCCCCTTCCATGGGTTCCTGTTGGATGGAACCTGTGGCCTGGAACGCTGCTGAGCCTTTTGCCATTTACATGAAGTGTTCAGACGAGGCAAATCCATTGGGACAGACAGTAAATGAGTGGTTCTCGGCCTGGGAGTAGAAGGGTGTGGGGAGTGACTAGGGTTTCTTTTTGGAGTGATGAGTATGTTCTGGAATTAGTGGAGATGGTTATACAGCCTTGCGAATATATTAAAAACCACTGAATCGTATGCTTTATAATGGTGGATTTTATGATATGTGAATTACATCTCAATACAGAAAAACAAAAACTGAGGCTTTTGGCTCTTGTAGGGACTTGGGGCTCTTCGCTGTATCTGAGCTCTGTAGCCTTCCTGGTACCTGGACGTGCTCCAGGCCAGGAAGTCGGGCATCGTCCAGGGTAGAGGAGCCTAGTTTGAGGCGGTGATCATGCTGGGGCTCCTAGCCATCTGGCTCACATTCCCTGACTTCAAGGTTTGAGGTCCAGGTGAGATTGTATAAACAAGCCCCGGGGAGCAAGAGGTGAGGGTGTGAGCAAGACTCAGCATAGGAAGGAAGTGCTGCTGACACATGGTGAGCCTATCCAGGGAGCTCTGCAGAGATGCACCCACCCAGCCCTCCACACCCCTCAGAGAGCAGCAGGCCTTGTTAAAGAGGGTTACTGATGGTTGATCACCAGCTCCGGTTGGAGTGAAGCCTGTTAGAAGTGAGGCTGGCACCGGGCACCTACATGGACCAGAACCAGCCTCCGCCTGTGGGGGCACCTGGCCGAGTGGAGAAGACTCCCTCCTAGCTGGAAGAGTGCTGTCTCAAAGGCATGGCTGGGAGCATCCTGGACAGAGCTGGCTCAGGAGGAGGCTCTGCTGAGCAACTTCTAAAAAAAAGGTGCAGTTGTCTGACAGGGGGACTGGCAGGCACCTGGTCCTCTCCAGACACCCCAGGTCTTCTGCTTCTCCACTTCAGTTGCCAAACCCAAGCCCAAGCATTACCATCCCTCACCCAGATGGCAGTAACAGCCTCCTCTGGGGTCCTTCTGCCTCTGCCTCTGCCCCCACCCTAACCCTCAGTCCAGCCTCCACATAGCAGTCAAAGTGATCTTTCATACCATAAATCAGATCCCATCTCTCACCTCATTAAATCCTGCAATGGCTTCCCATTGCTCCTGGAGTCAAGTTCAAACACTCACCACAGCCTGAGTGCTGGGTGGCCAGCACCTGCTGACCATCAGCGCTGTGCTCTTCTCTCCCTAAATGGCAGCCACCTCAGTGTCATGATGTGTTTTACAGCCAACAAGAATCTTTCTCATCTCAGGACCTTTGCATTTGTCCCCTCAGCTTGGAATTCTTTCCCAGCTCTTAACATAGCTGCCACCTTCTTACTCTGGGCTTTCTTCAAACATCACCTCCTCAGAGAGACCTCCTCTGACCATGCGACTGGTACCCTCTGTCACAGCCCTGGGCCTTGGCTGCCTTGCCCACCCTCGCAGCTCCTCAGGACAAGGTGGTTGGCCCTGCTTTCTGATGTTCTTGCCATGCTTCGAAGAAAGACAGCCCATCTGCCAAA